GTGGAGAAAATCATATTGAAAGTTGGATGGTGTGGAAATTTGGTGAGGTGTTTCACTCGCTTGTCTGTTTCACTCGCTTATCATGCACGTTATATCTTCGTAATATATATACACGCGAGGTATTATCGCTCGTTTTTTTCGAGACTAAGATTAAAAAGAACGAGTAGAAGTCCGTTATTCTCGATGTCCATCGAGTCGCTCGAATAAAACGAGGCTTAGGTCGAAAGTTCCAAGTATAGGTTAGGTGAGAGCGGGTAAGGTAAGCTAGAAGTGAGGTGAACGGGAGGTAAAGTAAAAGGTAGGTAAAGTGAGACTTTAATAAGGCTCTTAGGTGAATACTCGTCCTAGACGAGTAAATGCTCGTTTTATACGATCAAGATTTCGCTAAGCCTTATATACCTAGGGAATATATATACTATCGTGTTACTTCTTTCTAACCTTCTCTCTTTTATATTACGCCCTTCCCCCCCCCTCCCCCCCCTCCCTCCCTACCTACCTGACTAAAGGTAAGTCTTGTTCTTTTTTGTCGAACTGTCCTTCGAACTTTTCGAGCCCTACTAACCTAGCTAGTCGTTTTTTTCGAGATGTCCGTCAAACGCCCGGGCTCACCTCTAAGGCCTGAGACCCCGGAATCCTCGACCTCAGCCTCGAATAATCCGAGCCCGTCCTCGAGTATTTCGATACCTACCCCGAAGAAAGCGAAGGCCGGGCCGAAAAATCTAACTATCACTATACCCTCTGCTAAGACTAGTATAGTAGGACTGTAAGTCTTTCTATCTTTGAAGAAAACGAGGACTAACTCGATAAAATAGAGCCCGTGCTAAACGTTGGCGCACCACTGGCCTCGGAAATCTCGAGCGACTAGTCATTAATTCTAAGACTACTAATCTTAAGAAGATTCGGTACGTTCGATTTTATTAAGCCTACCCTCTTTTTTTTCTAGACTAAGGGGTAGAACCTAACTCTTTTTTTTCGAACTAGGGTATATTTTTAGCGAGGAAATAATAAACAACCGGTTAAAACGAAGTACTAGTCCTATTTTAGAGGTTAAAAGGTATTTAAGAGCCTACTCTCGAAATAAACGAAGCTAATCTCGTGATTTTCTAGGCTATGTTCTCCGGCCCTGATACTCCTAACGGCTCTAAAGCCTAGGAGTACTTAGCTTATAGTTACCTAGCTTCGGTAAATACGGCCCTTCCCTTGTTTTTTCCGAATACTAACTCGAAAAAAGCTAGCTATTATAGAGGAACTACTAGTTATTATAAATATATACCCTAGTAATATAAATAGCTAAAAGGTCGGTTTTTTCGACCCTCTCCTCGATAAAATCTAAGCTAGGTTCTAGGTTACCGACTAGGCCACCACCTATAGGATTTATCGCTTTAACTTCCTTAAGGTTCGTTAATTTCGGGCTTAAGGTCGAAAAAAACTAACGTAGTCTTTAGTTCTTTAAACTACTGGCTATCCCTAAGAATAAAGCGGTAAATTAGAAGGTATATTCGGTTTTTTCTAGCCTAGACTCGAAATTTACTAATCTCGGTCTAGTTTAACGTAAATATGGTTATTAGTATAATAGAGGCCTAGGGCTAGGAGTTTCCCCTCTAAGCTCGATTCTTTCGACTAGGTATAGCCTTTTTTTTCGACTAGGTACGGACTTTTTTCGACTTAATACGGGCTTTTTTCGACTAGGTATAGGCTTTTACGGAGCTGGTATAGTTATTTTTTTTTCGAGGTGGTATAGGTTTTTTTCGAGCTGATATAGGCTTTTTTCGAGTACCTACTAGCTTTAGTTAGTAGATACGGGCCTTTTTTTTTTCGAATAGATATAGGCTTTTTTCGACCGACTACTAGCTTTTTACGAAGATATGATTACTTTAGCTTAGGAGCTTAAGTTAATAAAATCGAGCTTACGTTCGTTTTTTTCGAGGCTTCTAGTTCCCGCCGCGAGTTCGACGAGGGTCGTAATTTACGTAGTAATATTAAATAAGAGATTATCGTTTATAATAGCTAAATAACTACTATAATAAAGGCTCTTAATATAATAGTATTATCTATA